CCCTTATTTTGAGGAGCCATGGGATGTCTCTGGAAGAGTCAGGAAAGGCTTGTTGTAGGAGCTTTTGTGGTGGGGGGGTTCAAGGAAGCAGAGGTCTCTTCTCGCCTAGGTACTCTCCGAAAAGCAGGGGTAATTCAGTAATTGTGTCTCCGAATAAGTTCCATCTGGGAGGCAGAAAGAATGGTGAACACTAAGGTTGCTATTGGAGAAATTACTGGGAGAATGAGATGTTTGGCTTTTTGGTTGCATGAGGTCTTTTTAAAAATTTCTTATGTTAGTTTCCTAGTGTTGCTGTAACAAATTTCCACACATTTAGGGCCTTAAAACAGCACAAATTTACTATCTAACAGTGCTGGTGGTCAGAAGTGCAAAATCAGTGTGAGTGGTTGAAGCCAAGGTGTCAGAAAGGCTGGTTCTTTCTGGGGGCTCTGAGAAGAAGGGAATCTGTTCCCCCACCTTTTTCAGCTTCTAGAAGTCACCTCCACTCCTCGGCCCCATCCCCACATCCCTCTAACTTCTGGCTTCTGTTGTCACATCTCTTCACTCTGCCCCTCCCGCCTCCTCCCATAAGGACCTTGATGAAGACAAGAGACCCATCTAAATAGTCAGGAATAATCTCCCCATCCCAAGATCTTCACCCTGATCCCATCTCTGAAGTCCCTCTCGCCACCTAACACGCTTTCCGGTCCTGAGAATTAGGGCATGGGTACCTTTAGGACACATCATTCTGTCCATCACCCCTCGCTTCAGGCACGATTCCTGAGTGGTCTTGTGCCCTTGTGGTCAAGCCAAGGAGAGACCTTGTCTGTACCACTATTTGGAGTTATGTTCAGCTGGGGGACACCGCCATCTATTGGTAATACTGTCAACTGCCAGCTTTAGAGCTGCTTTTTCCTTTCCTGTCCTCTCCACTTCCGGTCACTTCCCACATTCCCACCTATCCCATCTGGTCACAGCCCCCAGGAGCTGAATCTTTGCACCCATCCCATCTGGTCACAGCCCCCAGGATTCCACCCACCCATGTGGTCACGGCCCCCGCGATCCCATGGCCCCCACGATCCCCCACGATCCCACAATTCCGACTATCTAACCTGGTCACAGTACTCCTTCTTAGGCACAAAGCAAGCAGGAGCATGAGATCGAGAAGGCATCAAGAAGCATGGAGACTCTTTCCCTAGTAATAAGGAAAAGTTGGTCCAACCCTCTCTCTCCAGCACACCTACTTTCCTTCTTCCCTCCTTCCCTACAAAATTTCCTCATGCACTGGAGCTGAATCCTTGTGAACATTAAAGCTTTCTGTGCACCTTCAGCATGTGTTGTATTTTCCAGTAGTTGTTACAAAACCTTTGCCCAACTGAACTGGTCATTTGGGCTAGAATTATATACCATCGCCCATTTCGATTCCTGTTCAGTGATTTTTAATGAAGAACTGTGTTAATGAATTAAAGGGGCGAGTATTTATTATATTTTTAGAAAAGTCAAAAACAAGCAGGATTACTGATATGTTAGCTGACAGAGTTTGTGGTTCAAAACAAAAGAAATAGAATTTCATATAAATAGATGTAAAACAGCATTTGGGTTCAAGCCATCAACAGTATAATATAGGAAGGGATACATTTATGGAGGTAAACTAAGAGTTTCATTTCACGATGAGCTCAGTACGAATAATATAATATGGTTGCTTAAAGTCCATATGGTCTAGACCTATAGAAACAGTTCAGGAGAAGAAAGGTAACTCCACCATGTGGGTCACACCACACTTAAGGACCGATTTCACATCTATGCCCACTACTTTAAGAGTTGTATTAGCAAAGGTCAGCACCGCTTTTATCTAGAGCCTGTCATAAGCTTAGAACTGTACTGGACCCAGGACCAAGAAATCTAAAAGTCTAAACATAGAAATCTGATTTTTCAAAAAGACTGTGTACTGTATACCCATAAAATAGAATTCCAGTCATTCATGACAAATGGTGACTTAGTTGTGTATTGTTTGACAAAGAGAAGGGTTCATAACCCATCATCAAGTTAAAAAAAACAACAATGGATTAGTTGGGTTATGTCTCATTTTTATTTTAACATTGAAAGAATATGTATAAAAATTAACATTCATTATCACCAGGCATTTTTTTCTGCAAATCTATATATTTCTTCTATAATAAGCATACAATTCATTGTCTTTACTCATTTTTAAAGTTCTTTAACAAACAGAATTTTGTTACAAATTTTCTTCTTAAATTATAGGATGGATTTAGGGGACGATTATCACCATAAGGCATGGCAGGATAGGTTACTGGTTAACACTGGCATATTGCGAGTAACCATTTTGACAACAGGTCGAGAGGTGCAGCGGCAGTTACCCATATGTGCCATCAGATGGCGCCAAAGCAGCTAGCTAATATTTAGCAGCCGCAACTTGAGTGGCCCTTGCTCCAAAAAAAAACAACTTGATGAGGTTTTTAAATATTTAAGATTCTCTGGCCAGAATAAGTGTTTTGTTAATGATGCAACTGACATTGTAGAGAACTTTTCAAAATGATAACCGAACATGCAGATGTTTGCTTTAATAATTTTATTTTTTTTGCAAAAATACTAGTCAGGCACAAAAACAGTACCAATGCCATAGGTCAAAACTCTCAAAGGTCCCAAGATGTGATGAGTCTTTGACTCTTCACCTTGACTGCTTAATGATTTCTTAGTTTCTAGTAAGTGATTTCAAGATTCAGCTGCAGAGTCATTAATAACGAATGAGTATTCACCCACGTTCTCCCTGCGGTGAGTGAGATTTGCTCACTTCCTGTACTGTCTGCCCCGCCACCCTCTCCTGCGTCCCTAGAGCACACCTGGCTTTCTTCATCCTTGCCCATCTGAAGGATTGTTTCTGCCTGATTGGGCCCAGTTATTAGTAAGGACTTGGGAGCGCATCCTTTTCTGAGTCTGTGCTGCTGCTTTCAGCAAAATGCTGCTTTTTCCATCTCCTTTCTCTACACCGGGCACGGGTCCCATGGGAATGCCAGGGTTGGAGAATGATGCTGTGACTTCTTTTTTCCTTTTCTTTTTTTTTTTCCCCTAGAAGTTCACTTTACGTTTTTATTTTATTTTAAAGATATGGGGATTTGGATTCGAATTTTAAAGATATGGGGATTCAGGATTAGGTATACAAGTGGTGATCGTACAGGTAAAGTTGGGCCTTCCTTTGATGATGCTGTGTTTTCTCATGACCCGCACCTTTCATCGTGGGGACCTCAGCAGGTATTAAGCTCACTTCCGAAATGGCTTCTCACATGGCTAACAAAAGAGATTTTCCACAGGTGCACACAGAAAAGTCCAGAAAGCTCTAAACTCTCATAGTTAGAGGAACACAGCTAGACTGTATAGATTGTAAAAAGACAGTGGAGATCACAAGGCGAGGAAAGCCATGTAAGGACACAAAGGACGAGATGAGGCCTATGGTTCTATGACACCACTGTCTGCACATTGTACCTGGGAAATCTGATCAGAAATGTGTATGTCTCCAGCAGTCATTACCTGTGCACTGTTTCACCTGTTTCATTTCCCTCTTTCTGCTGCCAACTACGCCTGCCCCCAACAGCTCTGAAACCCTCTGCCTGTGACAAGGAGAAATAGTCCTTGTGAAAAGCAAAGGAACTATGTATCGTTTTGATGTGTGAGTTTGTAACATTTTCTCACTTGCCCGTGGAATGCCAGTGTCCCTCAATGGTTGGTCACAGCTTTTCACATTTACCAGTTCTCAAGTTGACCGACCTGGATCATCATGAACAAAAGCATTAAACAGTCTTCCTCAAAGCCCGATGGCCTTCCTGAACACGGAGAATCACTCAGGTCAAAGTGGCCCTCTTTGAAATGACAAAACCATGTTTTTGCCGTGCTTTCCCCGAAGGCATTCTCCCTATACATGGCACAAATATTTCAAGCCAACCCCACTGCCTTTACTCCTCTGCTAAACTCAAACTCACTTCCGAAAATGTCGAAAGTGTTCGTTTTTTTCCACTTGACATTCCATCTTCTTTAGCCCGCAGACAGCATTGACTTTCTTCAAATCTGCAGAATGCAAGGCGTAATCACAAGCACAATATTGTCACTCTAAATGACAAATGACAAATGATAAGCTCCCAACACTACAGTGTTGTCATGTCAAAAACAAATGCTACAAACTTATGCATCAACCTAATATAGTCACCCTACTTGAATCTCAGCGTCTGAGTGTGTGTGTGTGTGTGTGTGTGTGTGTATGTGTGTGTGTGTGAAGCTCAATATTGCTTTGTAAGCTGATTGTACCAAAAGGTGAAGAAAACAGCTCAGTGAGAGGATCCTTAAGAGAATACATTTTGTGGCATTTTATATCTCAGAGGTTGACACTGGAGATTGAATCAAGCAGATTTAATTCCATTAAAATGAGCAAGAGTTGGGTGTGGTGGCTGACACCTGTAATCCTAGCACTTTGGGAGGCCAAGACAGGAGGATCGCTTGAGCCTAAGAGTTCAAGACCAGTCTAGGCAACATAGCAAGACCCCCATCGCTACAAAAAAATTGTGTAGATGTGGTGGTGTGCACCTGTAATCCCAGCTACTCTGGAGGCTGAGACAGAAGGATTGCCTGAGCCCAAAAGGTCGAGGTTGTGGTGAGCCGTGATCATGCCACTACCCTCACCATCCAGCCTGAGTGACAGAGTGAGACCCCTACTCAAAAAAAAAAAAAAAAAGAAAAAGCAAGGATCTTAATCCAACAGGTAAATTATCTACAGAAAATGTACATCTGCTGGAGAACAATTCCTAAAAGGAACTTACCAAGTTCAAATGATTTTCAAATAACCTGAGCAAAGGAATAGAGGGTTTCTCAGGCTGGTATTTCAAAGTCAGGGCTGAGGAAATAAGATATCCGGAAGCCAGGGTTCAAAGAGTGATGTCATCCCCTAGGGAAGATTCGATTCCAGTGCAGGATGGTGACATGCTTCTAAAGTTGTCTCTTGTTTTCTCTTGCAGCTGGATCATTATCCTTCTGTGACTTACCATCTGCCAAGCTCATCTGACACTCTCTTCAACTCTCCCAAGTCGCTCTTCCTGGGAAAAGTTATAGGTAAGAATTTGGTTCATTAGATATCAATGTGTCTTAAGCATGCATCTGGGTAAAGTGAATTTGGATCTTTAAACAACCAGGTAAATTTCTCTCACTGGGGCCAGTCACGGATGTCTTCTCTATACAAGAAAAGTTGTGCAGTCGTTCTCAGTGATGTGCAAGACATGCATTGTCAAGTCATCTTTGTCGCTCATGTAATACATTCTAAAGTTCCTGGTCTGCCCTTGAAACACATCGTGGCTGGAGCTGAGAGGCTTGTAAGTCAACAAAAGCAGTGGAACTGACGTGTGGTGCGTGGCATAAACTACCACTCAAGTGATGCCTACTCTCTGCTCTCGGATTCTGTGTGTAAAATTAGGTTTATTAAAGACCTCTACCTGCCAGCAATATTTAACTTTTTCTTTGTTAAAGCATATCAATGTGATTCTTTCTTCCTCTCACTCACAAAAAATCTCCCTGACACCATTTACAGATGAGAAGGCCGATAGGAACTCGGCAGTGTGACCCTTCTTGTGTGTGACCCTTCCTTGTGTGTGAATCTAAGAGTCTCTTTTGTCTTTCTCTTCACTAGAGATTAGCACTGTCAAGATCAAATATATTCACACACAATATGAAAGGACAATTCAGCAGCTACTTCCTTGTTTAATTTTTAACTTTAAATATGTAAGGTACGATCCAGGGGTAGGTATACAAATGTTCTTTATGCAGGTACCCTTGTTGATGAAGTGTGACTCCCCCTCCCCTGGCAGTTTCCCACTACTACCATCCCTTTCTTATACTATTAGGATAGTTGTTCAAGGTCCGCTTATGAGTGAGAACGTGTGATACTTGGTTCTTTGTTTCTGTGATAGATCACTCAGTATTATAGCCACTAAGTCCACCCAAGTTCCTGTGAAGTTCATAAATGTGTCCTTCTTTATAGCTGCATAATATTCCATTATGTATATGTACCACATTTTTTTATCCAGTCCTCTTTTGATGAGCAGCATGGTTGGTTCCATGTTTTTGCTATTGTAAATAATGCTGCAATAAACATAGGTGTGCAGGTATATTTTCATAGAGTGATCTGAGTTCCTCCAGGATATTCCCAGTAGGGGGATTACAGGGTCATATGAAAGGTCGATTTTTAGACCTTTTAGGAGTTGCTGCACTGTTTTCCACAGAGGCTGTACTAGCTTACACTCCCACCAACAGTGTAGAAGTATTCCCTTTTCACCGCATCCTCTCTAGCATCTGTTTCTTGTTTTGTTTTGTTTTGTTTGTGAGCTATGGATGATGGCCATCCTCACTGGAGTTAGGTGGTATCTCAGTGTGGTTTTAATTTGCATTTCTTTGATGACTAGTGGGGCTGAGCATTTTTTCATGTATTCTGCTTGTATGTCTTCTTTTGAGAAGTGTCTATTCATATATTTTGCCCACTTTGTAATGGGGCTGTTTGTTTTTTTCTTTTTGGCATGTTTTAGCTTCTTGTAGATCCTAGATGTTAGGCCTTTGTCAGATATACAATTGGCAAATATTTTTTACCAGTCTGTGGAATATTTCCCCAGTCCGTGGGGAAATATTTTTTCCCTACTCTCTCAGTGATTTCTTTTGCTTTGCAAAAGCTTTTCAGTTTGATGAGGTCCCACTTGTCTGTCTTATCTCTCATGGCATGGGCACTTGCAGTTTTGATCAGGAATTGGTTGCCTATTCCAATTTCCATAAGGGTGGCTCCTGCATTTTCTAAGGTTCTTATAGTTTGAGGCTTTAACATTTAGGTCTTTTATCCATTTAGAGTTGATTTTTGTGTCTGTTGATGATAGGTAGGGGCCTTGTTTTAATCTTCTGCATGTGGTCAGCCAGTTTTCCCAGCACTATTTACTGAATAGGTTCTCCTTTTCCCAGTGGTTCACGGTGTAGGCTTTGTCTAAGATGAGCTGGTTAAGAAATTGAGGTTTTGCTTCTGGAATCCCTATCCTGTTCCATTGGTCTATATGCCTGTTCTTGTACCAATATCAGAAATAGTTACTTCTTAATCCTTTACTTCCCCAAAAAACACCCAGGCATGATCTCAAATCCAGCTTTGCATGACCTAGCCCCAATGACCTTAGCCAAATTTTCTCCAACATTTCCTATAGTTGCTGTATTTTGAAGGTCTTATCCCATCTTTATTGTTTGCAAACAAGAATAGAAGACAGAGACTTTGTGACATTACATATTGCATGTGCAAATATGACAACAAAATGCTATAACAATGCAGTGAAACAAGACCTGTGATTATTATTTTCATTGTACAGATGAGGAAACTGAAGCTAAGGCAGGTCAATTTGATAAAGGTTATTCAACTTATATGTGGTAAAGCTAAGTTTTGAAGCTAGGTGTCTCTGATGAGCATCCATCATCTTAGGCAGATCAGAAGAACTTATCACTCATGGTAGAGTTCCATCCAAAGGGTTATAACTAAAAGTCGAGGGATGTCCTCAATTAGCAACAAAAAGTGACTGTTTAGTGAGGTATGGCCTTGGCATTCATAAGTCATGTATCCTGAAACATTGGTGAGTGCCCAAATACCACCATACATATTTCTACAATTCAGTCAAGAACAATTAGAAATGTTAAGTGTTTTTTCAGAACCATAATGGTTATATCAAAACAAACTCTACCCTATGATACTATGATAACCCTAAAGATACTGCACTATGACATTCCTCAAGTATCAACTATGAATGATCTCTATTACTTTGTGAAATTCACAAAGTCAAGTTTTGATGGGAATATTGGGTGACTGCTAGGTTCCCTCATTATAAATAACATTCTTTGGTTCATCAGTATTTCAGGTCATGTGACTAAAATCACACTTCAGCAATATACTCTATGGCATGGACCTTCAAGGTCACAAACAAGTGATATCGTAAAGGCATCATCCTCTGCAACCAAGAATTTACTGTTCTTCTTAAATCCATGCCAAGCTAAAAGCATAACTTGAGCCTCAGATTTATGAACACTACACCAGGTTTTTTTGTACTCCAAAGGAAAACTAATAACAAATGTGGTGGTAAGTAATGGTAAGGAAGTCATCGATTCCAAGATGGAGATGTCATCATGCACTTGAGGATGGTTAAGGCTCCTGCTGCGGGTCCTCGGGGCACTGACTTCAAGCAGAAATTGTCTGTCATCCCCACTGGCCCGTGAACTCCCTGCAGACCAAGACGGCATCTCAAGTTCTGCGGTATCCTAACAAGAAACAAGCCCTCGATAAATATTGGTTGAATTAATAAAGAGGGGAAAGAATATCACTGTAGAAATATACTGTAGGGTGAGAGGGTGAGGATGAGGGTGCTAGCTAACCTTATCAAGAAGATTAGCACAGAGGGCACCCTGCTACCCTCTCATATCTCACACCATGGTTCTTCTCAAAGCAGGCATCCAACAGTAAAGGCAGGAAAGAGTGCAGGCACTGGAATCAGGCAGAGCTGGTGAGACTTGAACCCAGGTGCCTCTGTTGGCATTGAAATCTTGGGCAAGTTATTTTGTTACTTTAACCTCTCACAGCCTGGATTCTCCACTGCAAAATGGGGAACACAAATACCTACTAGCACGTTGCTAGTTCCAAAAGGACAGGGATTGTTGTCTTTTTTTAAAAACCACTCTATTTGCAGCAGCCAAATCAGTGCCTAGCATCTAGGAAATGCTCAAGAAATACTTGTGGAGTAAAGAACTACACTTTTAATAACATCTTAAGAAGTATCCAACACAATGCCTGATACATACATGAAATTAATTCGCATTTTGATGCTGACTGTGTACCAGGCCTTATGCTAATGTTGTGAGCATAGTGTCATCTATACTTCTCAACACACCAGACCATTGTCACCCTACCTGTATAGAAGAGGGAACCAAGACTCAGAGTAGTTAACCTTTTTTCTCAAAGCACGGTTTCCCAAAAGCAGCACTATTGACATTTTGGGTGAGAACATTTTTGCTACGGGGTCATCTTGCACATTTAGGATGTTTGGTAGCACCCCTGGACTTTACCCATTAGATACAAGTAGCACTCCCCAGTTGTGACAGCCAAAAATGTCTCCAGACATTACCAAATGTCCCACAGGAGCACAAAACCAGTTGAAAATTAGTAGCTGAAAACTACCCAACTAGTCAGTGGTGAAGCTGGGATTTGAATAGTGTGATGTGTGGCCCCAAGATTTATGCTTTGCTTCCTGATGACACTTGCATCTTCCAGGGTGACAAACAAGCAAAGAAGAAAAGAATACTTTAGAGTTAAAATTCTGTTGACACAATCAAAGGAATCATAGTGAGGACCCAAAAGAGACATGTGGGTCCCGGGGGGCTAAACATTGGCCACCCCTTCAAGACAGTATTTCTTTAATGTTTGGGTATTTCATAGGGGCAGAATTAGGGAGGAGCATTTTTTAAATTTTTCTTTGAACATGGCACATACTTCAGTGAGAAAAAACCCATTTGCATTCTCCAGCTGTATAAATATCCATCTGTACTGACATATGGTATTGAACTTGCAACAGACATCTTATGTACTCCAGCCAGGTTTTGACAACCCCTAGAGATTGATGTCCCCGAGTTGTTGCTTTGCTGGGTTGTCTGCTAATCAGAAACTGATCCCATTAAAAAAAGGAAGAAAAGATGGATCTGAATGCATAATATGGCTTCACACTGAGCTCATTGATGAGCAGTGCTTTTATTTCTTTTTCTTCTTAATTATGATTTTTTTTTAGACTCAAAGGGCACATGTGCAAGTTTGTTATATAGGTTTATTGTGTGGTGGTGAGATTTGAGTTTCTATTGAGTCCATCACCCAGGTGGTGGCCATGGTACCCAGTGGGTGGTTTTTCAACCCTTATCCCCTCCCTCCTTCTCTGCTTTAGGACTCCCCAATGTCTGTTGTTCCCATCCTTATACCCATGTGTATTCAGTGTTTTACTCCCACTTATAAATGAGAACATTGGTATTCAGTTTTCTGGTTCTGTGATAATTTGCATAGGATT